TGAATAATTTTTAATGAAGATTTTGCATCTTGTATACTTGGTGGTAAAATCATTTATGCTGACATAGTAGATATAGAATTAGGAGGGACAGTTTTTACAAAAGTATTTGTAACAGAAGTTTTTACAAACAGGGGGTTAAGAAACCTGATAGAAGTTGAGGGCTGATTGACTTTCAACTTCAAATCCAGTCAAATTCTAGACTGCCTATGCATTTGGTTTGACAAACCATTCTTAATTTATTGTTATTAAATAGTTGCATAGAAATATTTGAATAATGAAGGTGGCTGCATTTCATATGAAAGTTTGTTGTTGCTCTAGTAATATATGTACAAAGCCATCAGAACTACTGAAACAGCATTCAAAATGATGCCTATTTTAAAAAGCATAGGATTATAATTAATTCTGATGTGAAAATCAAGGTCCTAATACCTCACTAGTTTTATACAATACTCTAAAAAGTTCACAAACAAAAATGACCATATATTTCTTAATTTTTGTTTCATTCAAAGAACTACCGTGCCACAAAGAGTTTTAGAAAAACAACATTCCCAACATTCCTGATGCATTTATTTGTGGTTTTAGGGCAAATACTCACATTTAACAATTCTTCCAATTCTTTATTTGATCCATGGCTGAGCTCATATGTTAATTGCCAACTAGGTGAATTTCACTTGAGTTGAAATAGATCTCTGAATTAGAATCTCTGCCCATATCGAAAACCTTTCTCTCTCCATTCCCACAACCCCATGGCAAAGTTAACTATTATACCTTCCTACTTGGGTTTAGAAGTCTGGGTTACTTATAAGTGATCAGTTAAGCACTATTGAGAAAATACACACTATAAATAATTATGAGAAAATGTTGAATGTATTCCTTGGAAATCCATCACTCTTGGGGCAGTTCACTCGTGTGTATTATTGTCTGAAATAGCTTACGGGCAAAAGGTATTGCGTAAGAGTCTGAAAGTAGATAAAGAGGAATATTTAAGAATGAAACCAAGCACCTCCCAATGATATCTCCCTGAATAGCTATCTCTGAACTGCACACAGATAAGTAATGAAAGTCATTTACAAAGTAATTTTCTCTCCTCTTGGCTTGGAAAGTTTCAGTAATAAAGTTTGGTGTCTGTTGAGTGAAACATCATAGTTTCTCACATGGTTCAAGGCAAATGGAAAAAAAAACCCCTTTGAATTCTTAAAATTTTAATGCAGTTAAATAATACACTGACAAATGGCATTAAAGCTCGGTACTGTTTTTCCCCTAGAAAGGCAGAAATTGTATCCTACTAAAGTGATGTTTCAAGCAGATATTTTGGAAGATGCTTACCTCCCGGTTGGGTGTACCTCTCTGCGGCTTAGGTGAGCGCCAGCGCCTTGGCGCCTCTCCAGATGCTGCGAGCTTCCCCCGGCGCCCGGCGCCTCCGAGCTTCCCAGAGTGGGGTGTTCGGCCCCGCCGCCTGCCCTATTGCCAAAACTCCAATCTGCCAGACCGATTAATTATTGACAAAAGGAAAACACTCCCACGCAAACTTGTGTCCAACCGCGCTGCTCCAGCGACTCCTCGCAGAGCTGCACCACTCCCCTCCCCCTTTGCTCTACGGTCCCAACTTCCCACAGGCTGCCTCCGGCTGTCAGCGCTGGGCGCTCGGGCTGGTCCCGGGAGGTATGCCGCCCTGCGACTTCCACATTCTAAAATTCGGTTTCCTGCGGCTCGTAGCACCCCCCCGGGCTCGGCCTCTCAGGTGCAGGACCTTGGCGATGCTGGGGAAGCCGGCTTCTGAGAGCAGCCGAGGAGGCTGAGGCGTCCCTGTCACCTCCGGCTACTGCAGTAAAAGCCCGAGCGCAGCCGAGGCGGGGATGGGGAGGAGGGATAGGGAGGCGCCCTCCCCCCACCCTCGGGCTGGGAGCCCCGACACTGCCAGAGGGGCACATCCTTCGGAGAGGTTGGGGAGGAGCAGAAAACCTGGAGGCGCAAGGCAGAAGCTCTGGGGCTTTAGCCTACAGGCCGGCGTTC